TAACCACAGAACAGTTAGTAGAAAGGAATGATCTAGTGTTACAGTTGTATTCAAAAGCGCCATTTTGGTATACTATCCATTCATACACCCGTTTTTGAAAAACAAAATGGTGCAGCTGGTTTCTTTAAAACAAGTTATTGTCAACATGCGTGTTTATGATGAAACATTCCTTAAAATACATTTATCTGACCCCCCTGTGTTATCTCTGAATAGAACATATAACAATTTCGAAATATTTTAGCTCAGTACAAAGGTGATAAGAAACACAACCGAAGGGGCCAAATATTTACAATTGTTGTATCTATACTAGTGTAGATCACAGCAGTAATTATTGTCAAAATTACGAATTTGTAACCGTGCAAATTTAGCACTCCTTATGCCACATCTAAACAACAAGTATTACAGCATCAATAACAAACAAAACATCTTCCTATAACACATGTAATGCACCAATTGTTTTGTGCGCATCGATAGTGGTGGGTGTTAGAGATGTTTGTAGGTTTGATCGGTAATTTTTGTCTAGTAGCGCTGTCGGACCTAATACTGATTGTACAATTTTATGTTATTGTGAATATTGATGAACAGAGCAAGGATGCAATATAATGCACCATTAAGAAAGAACAGAAGAAATGAATGAATACTAAACATGGTGCTTAACTTGATTTTATTTCATCCACTTAGATCATTGATGGCGTGCCAGAAGTATGCTCTTTGAGTGGTTCAGGATTCGGTGTTAATGTCTCATATTCGGTTGGATGAACGTTAGAATTTGCAGAATGTTTGTACGACTCTTCTAATATACGTTCTGAACAATTAAATTCCACTTTACAATACAAATACTTATATGCATAAAATATCTTCATCAATATGCTCACACACTCTGCGGTAGAAAATCCATTCATTTTCTCATCAATCCTTTCTAGAACTTCAATCCACTCCTCACATTTTTGCCCAATATTTTCTTCATCAAGACGTTTAGAAATATTAGACTCATCGTACATCTGATACATCTTGTGACTTTCAGCCCTAAGCAAGTCAATCTTCTTTACTTCGGTTCTATTCTTCTGTTTATTGGCAATATCGCGCAGATCACCAAGGAGGTAAAATACATGTTTCTCGAAAAACAGCATTGTTGTTTTAAACTCAATCACCATTCGATATGTTGTTTGTTGAGTGTTTGTTAGCACTCCTGTCCCAGATTTATTACCTCCTATAGCATGAGCTTCCTGATAATTTAATACCAACCTGATGCAAACTGAGAAGCAATCTTGTTGTATTATTTGTAGGCATTTCCGTTGTACTGTCTTCAGGATAAAGCTTCAAACGCTCATACAATTCATAGGTATCTTATAGTACCTGAACTCTTACCTATGAGACCCTCTATTACCTCCAA